GTATCTATATTTGCCTCTCTTCACACAGGGGTATAAATGGGTAGCTAGGAGGAGGTGGATGATTTGGAATGAAACTGATGGTACTGAACTAAACATATGAATATATTACTCCCCAGGAAGTGAAGGAAGTTGCAAGTTGTGTATGATTGGTTCTGTATCATATAACCAGCAGAAAAAGTGCATTTGAGCAGAGCTTGTAAAATCGATACACCCAGTAGCAGGGCTAGAACACCATCGCAACGTCAAGACCTCACAGAAAGTGGAGATTGACTTGCTGAATGTGTCAGCTGACGTTTTTCTTTTTAGAATCCTAATTTATATGGTCCCTTTCATAAATCCAGAGATAATACAAAGGTGCTGGCATCAGCATTTGTCACTGGAGACCTTGACAAACCAGCACATAAGTTCAATGCCTTACTATCTTACTAGGTACCCATTAAACTCCAAAGTGGAGAGAGGCAAACATAAATAAAGTGCCATGCCCAAGGACACAATGCAATGCAACAAGCGTCGGTCTGGAACTCCCAATCATTAGTCCAACACCTTATACACTGCACCACACGCTCCTTCTTTTGAATTCAGCCAATCTTTTGCATTTTCTCAATACAATCTTTGTGTTTACTTTTTGCACTTAATATGTACTGTGGCTTTTTCTAGATCTCATCCATTGCCAAAGTTTTTAATCTATTACAAATGAATTTCAAAACAAGAAAAAAAAACAGAATTACAGAAATACAGAACAAGTTTATTCAAATATTGCTTCAATGTGAATTGATATTCTTCTAATATATTTAGAATACTAAAACAAGAAGTTTAACAATAGATTGCGCCATTTGCTTCACCTTATATTTATGGGCATTGCTGCACTTTCTCATTTAAATAATTTCAGGCGTAACTGTTAATTGCATGATCTTTTGACCTCGAACGACCGAGATCCTTAACTGATTTTCACTCTTCACAGCACTATATACTTCCTTTGACGATTTGATCTCTTGCTTATCAATGTGTGTAATAATATCACCAGGTTTCAAGCCACTTCTGCAAGTTAAATGAGAATTTGTCAAACTCTAAGGCACCGAAAGCAGAATACAGTGGTGGCATCAGCGGGCGGGGCTGGGGGAATTTTCTTAATGTTGGACCGGCCTGAACCCCTACCTCCTGTCATTCTATGAACAAGTAGGTCATTGGATCAAAAACTTTTTTTAAAATACTGTCTCCTATCCAAATAACCATATTTTGATTGCCAATTCCTAATATTGTGGTCTAAGAGCTAATTTTGGAGCATAATAAGCCATAAAAACTCTTCCTGTGAAGCCTACCAGAGATTTTTTAATTCCAAGCCGGCCCCTTGGTTTGGACACCTCCGCCAGACCCCTCGTTGGCAAATCTCTGGCACAACCACTGGTTGAGTAACCGAGCGGTAAGACAATGCTGCTAATTACAGCTATAACATCAAGGCTGGTTTGAGCCACTCCTTGTCCTGAGTTTGGTTGGTAGAACCAAGTCTTCTTGGATAAGGACTTGAAATGGATGTCCAGTGTACACATCTCTCTGGCTCATGTGCACTTTAAAGGACCCATTACATATTTCGGAAGAGTACAGTAGGAGGTCACACTGAGGTTCACTTCATCCCCTGTCGTTGTGGAATGATGTGAACATGAAGCTACTATGTGAACATGAAGCTACAGTAGTCACGAAATATGTCCATTGTATGCAACAGCACCACAAAGCTGCGAGTTACAGGTTCTCCTCCTAATTTTACATCAACATGAAACAAATCCATATCGATCATTGTAAAATTGTAACATCTGAAGAATACTAATTACAGTACCTCCGCCAAAAAGACTGCTGTCTGTCTGTGGGGCTGTTTACCTGCCTGTCTGTCTGTTTGCAAGATTACGCAAACACTATTAAATGGATCATCATAAAATTTATTGGAATGGTACACAATAAGGAGGATGGCAAGAAAAGGCCAAAGGTCACACAAATTTAAATATTTACCCTCAAGCATAAAAGAATATCGTCCCTCATATTCAGGCAGCACTCAAGAAAATAATGGGCAACAGGCTATTCCATTATTTTCTTGAGGGTATGCTGCAGTTTCGCCTACCATACACGGCCTGCTTATTGTTGGGTGGAGGTAAGTACTCTATGGAGTGACTGCTCTAGTTTTAATGTTGTTTACCTGTGGGCAGGTGATCCTTGGGTGACGCCATAAACAAGAACTCCATACTGAATATCT